TTGTGCCCTCCGACGGGAGGGGGTTTCAGTGTCCTCTCAGCACCAGTGGCAGCCGTCAGAGAAATCACCGTTTTCTGGAGAACCAAGATATTCGTGTGAAGAAGTTCTCATGTCCATCCCCCGGAGTTCAATGTGAATTTGCCTGAAGCTTAGTTTCCCGTGAAACTTCTTCACGCGAGCTTCTCAGACTCATTCTGGAACCTCTAGAACTGGACTTGAATAACCTGCAGGTGCCGGACCGGTGGAGGCCCTCCTGGCCCGCCATCAAACTCTTCCCAGAGCCATTGTCTCTTCCTCTGCGACTTCTGGATCCATTCGTTGTACAACGAGAAGCTCACGGATCTTGTTATCAGGATATGAACTACCTTTGTGTTAAGATTCAAATGCCCCCAATGAATGTATTCTCTTAATATTCAGACGCTGTGTTTCTGCATCAGTTGGATTGTCCCCATCCGACATTCTGCCAACATGGCAAGGACATCTACTCATGGGCCGTTTGTCATCCCGGGGCTTCTCCTTATATTAACACTCTTTCCATCGAGTCCTGCCAAATCCTTCATTGGGTTTTCTTTTTCCCTGGCATCGGTCACTTTGTCCAAATGAGCATGAATAAACACAAGTGCAAATGAGCCGATACTATTTTCGTGGCAGGTGGAGGACGCTGTCAGGAACTCCCTTGTCTGTCTGCAACTTGGGAATGTTGAGGGGATCATTTGGGTCCCTTCATTGATGATATTCCCTTCTCAACATTTTTAAACAAGCACAAATAATATTTGTAAAAAAAAATGTTTAATTTTATTTATTATGGTAATAAACTATTTTATACATGACACTTACTTTTGCCTTTCCTTACATGATTTCAATTGGGTGTTCTTACCTAAAATGACAGAACAAAAATGATACTTCCTATTCCTTTTTGAGAGCGTGGGAAGCTCTAATTTGGAGGCACCTACAATTGTGGATTTTAGAGAACTAAAATTCTAGAGTCCTAGCCAGGTTGCTCAGTGGTTAGAGGCTACATCCCCAGTGTGTGTGGGAGGCAACCAATCGACGTGTCTCTCTCACATCGATGTTTCTCTCTGTCTCTCCCTCTGCCTTCCACTCACTCTAAAAAACCAAGGGGGGAAAATACCCTTGGATGAGGATTTTTAAAAAAAATCTAGAGGCACTAAGATTGTGTGTCTAAGTGAACAATTGTTAAGGGGCTGTGCAATATGACCTTGAAGTAGAGCTGTGTCTGTTCTATCAGTTACAGAGATGTCTTCGAAGCCTGCCTCACTGGGAAGTGACGACACAACACACTGACTTAACACTTATTTGAAACTGACCTCCACAGAGAAATGTACTTTACTTTGAACAATTTGGATTGAAATTTGTATAAGATATATGAATGCTGTCCTGACTTTTAAATATATAGTGTAAAAAGACAACACACCTAAATCTTTTCAGAATGATTTGGTGTGGACAGGCTGACAGAATGAGTTTGATCTGTGCTTTAATTCACTGATGTTCTCAGATGCTACGAAGGTAGAGGACTGCTAGGCCCTAAATTACTTCTCCCCCAGCACTGTTGCTGTTCAGCTCTGTTTAATAGGTATGGCTTCCTGCTCAGGGAAGATTCTCCACAATACTGCCAACCTGAGTTCCTCCCTAACGCCAATGGACCACATGTCAACAGGGGCGCCTTCCTGTCCACAGACAGTAGCACTTCAGGGGTGAGCCCTCTGTGGCCTGCAAGCCGAATGCAGGCCTCTGCCTGATCTCAGAAGACCACAGAAGGAATCCGGTATTTTTAATGACATTCTTCCCTCCGCCCTGTCACTTAATTGCAAAAACATAATAAAAACAATTTAAAAGCCCCTTCACAACTGTTCACTTTGACATTTCAAATGATTGGTATTCATGCCAAAGATCTCCCCTAATAAAGCTTTACATTCTTTAGCTAACTGTCCTCGATGGAGAAAAATAATTTCCATGAATATGATTTTTATAATTAGTCAAAAGAAAGGCCCCAGAAACCTGGACAATGTGGCTCAGTAGCTGAGCATTGACCCATGAGCCAAGAGGTCACTGGTTTGATTCCTGGTCAGGGCACAGGCCCAGGTTGCAGCTCATCCTCAGTGTGGGGCATGCAGGAGGCAGCCAATCAATGTTTCTCTCTCATCGATATTTTCATCTCTCTATCCCCCTCTCTCTAAAAATCAATAAAAACATATTTTTAAAAAAGGCCTCAGCAAGGTTTCTTGGCATGCTGAGAGAGGCCCACCCTTAAGATAAGCTGCTTGTCAGTAGTGGCCCCACTGAATAGATCCATTTGCCAGAAAACAAGCTCCTTACGTTAAGGTTCATTTCTCTTAGTCATTGTGTTAAGTAAGCAAGTGAACAGTATCAATTTCTGCAGGGGAACCCCTCCCACTAAATTACTCTTCTCCCAGCATATAGATCATTATAAAATCATGATTGAATTTTTTTTAGGTCTTCAGTCTTGAAGAGAATAAAGTTTTTTTTTCTGCTATCACATCAAACAAATTAATCTGAAGAAATAATACGATACTTTTCAGTCTCTTGTGTGGCCCCAAGAATTAGTCAAAATGATTTACGATCTGGCTGTCCTTCAGATGTCTTGCTTGCCTCCTTGGGGATGGCCTTGGCAATGATGCTTGGAACGCACTGGCTTTTGTGAGGTTGGGGTCAAAGGGTCCTGGGGTGACCTTGAAGCCTTGTCTAGCTGTTTCCCAGCCAATGCTGAAGTTGCCAGGGCTGGTGACTGGCCAGATACTCCTCAGCTGAAACTACTGTCTGGGCACCTCCAGTCTTTCATTTAAAGAAACTCCAAGATTTTAGTTCACTTGCACCCAGAGAGGTAAGTTATCATTTTCATATGATAGGTAGGGAATAACAAGAAGCTTAAGTAAGAAAACACTGGTCCGCCATAATTGACATATCGGTTAATTGGCCCTCAAATATACAGCTAAACACAGTAATCATTTAGTAACTCCTGAGAGCCACTCTACATCATGTAATAGCTTAAAACAAATTCAGGCTTATTACTTTCAAATATATTCCAACACAAAGAATGAATAAGCCTGCTTTTTAAAAATATAACTTATAAGAGTTCAAAACCTTTTAAGAGTTCAAAACCTTTCCTATTACTTATACATGTACATACACTTCCTTATAATCATCATCACACTCCCCTTTTCCAAACCCTTTGGAAAAAGCCCTTTTCTTTCATACAAACTTCAGCCCAACTCTCTCTGTCTGACCACAAATCCTGAACCAGCGTCAGTCCGGGAAGTTTTACTGTCTTCATCTGAGTGCTCACTCCCCAGCCTCCTGCCCTCCTTAAAAGTACCCAGCACCTTGGGATTGCCTGCCTGTCCCCTCCTGTACCACACCAGCTGCCTAGGCCGCTGCTGCCCCGACTGCCTGCTCCCCTAGCCTTCGCCCTCCTGCTGCTGCCCACCTCAGCTCATCTACATCTGCCCCTCCCTCTCTCTTTCAAACAGAGTGGCTAGGAAGAAAGGATGCTGAGAGATGACTGGTCCTGCATGCCAGGAGGTTAAAGCTCAGTGAGCTGATAAGCACGGCCAGTACCCGGGGACAGTGTGACACAGACCAGGACCACGTGAACCTCAGGAGGATTTAATGCATGTGCCCAAGATGTTCGACGTTCTCCCATAATTGAGTACATCATGGATCCAAATTTTAAAAGCTTATTCACTTCCCCCTCTACTTTTCCCTCTCCCCCCTCCCCCGCCCCCTCAGAAACATCCAAAACCAAACAGAAGCATTCGGAATGCAGCATCTTGCCAGAGAAGTGAAGAATGAAGAGTTATATAAGAATGCTTAGACTGTAAACATTTTTCCTCAAAAAGATATTCTAAACTGGGGTGGGGAACCTTTCTTCTGCCAAAGGCCATACAAAATTATCGTCTTAGAAATTAGCCTGATTTATCTGGGCAAACATTTAATTAATTCACCCCTAATGCCTTGGCAGGGCCAGACCAAATGATTTCGAGGGCCTTATACGTGCTGTGGGCCGGACGTTCCCCACCCCTGTTCTTAAACAATTCTACAAAAAAGTGACTTATCTGTGTGATAGAAAAAGCTCCATTTTATTCGAAACCAAACAGAGTAAACCACGAATGTGAACCGCTCAGTGGGGAGATGACGCTGGGACTGGCATGGAGAGAGAAGAGACCACGGGAAGCCATCCTTACCCTTTGTGACTTGCCTGGTCGCACCGGCCGGCAGGTACGCTGTTCCCCGGCTCAGAAATGCTGGTTCTCCACGTGGATGACTCACTGTCGGCCACAGGCACTGCCTGTTTATACGTCTCTGCAAATCTGGGGAACAAGCCGCCGAGTGGAGATCGCCCTGATGAAGTTCAAACAGCAGGTCTCCTTGGGCACCGACTCCTTGGGACGTGACAGAGCATATTCTGTCTCCGGGGCGATTAGAAGCACAGCTGTGGCTGTCGCCTCCCTGCATGGGGAGGGGAAGGTGTAGCTCAAACCCCAGCACCAGTTCCAGAGGCCACACAGCAGGACATGAGGCAGGGGACATGTAAATGTCACCAAAACGTTTCGGAAACATTGGCCAGTGGAGGACGGGCCTGTCACTAGTCAGGATTCCCGTGTCCCAGTCAGGAAATGTCCAATGCATTTAATCCTTGGTGAAGGAGAAGAACCCAAAGGGCTTTGGGACTGGGACCGCTGTGTCACGATGTGCAGCTGGGCGAGACACTGTGCTGCTCTGGACCCAGCCCAGCGCACCCCACGGGAAGATGATGGTGGGGGAGACGATCTCTAGGTTCCCAGAGATAGAAGACTCTCCGGTTGTCGAGGGTCTCACACTTCCGGTGTTGGAATGAGGTAACTTCAACCGAAGAGCAGATCAAGCACTGGTCCCCTGGCGGTTATCTTGGGGCATGAGGTCAGGGAGAAGCACCATTTGCGTTGGAAGCCGACAGCAAGGGCTGGCCTGGCCCGGCGGCATTACTTCATGGAGTAGGTCTGGGCCCAGGCAATGCCCACGTGGGAGTAGCAGTACAGGAATCCCAGGACGGAGAGGGTCACCCACGGCCAGCCTGCAGGGGGAGGACAGAGATGCAGGAGCAGTTAGAAATGCCTGGGGTGGGACCTCCCACAGATGCAAATTACTCTCCAACCCAAGAAACAGCACAGGCCTCGGTTTACCCATTAAGACACGTGCCTCCTGCAAAGTCTGCTCTAACTGGAATGCCAGCCAGTTGAACCCTGGGGCCAGCATGAAATGAGGGGCGTGCTAACACAAATGCAAATAGTGTTTAGAAACAGGACAAGATTTAAAGAATACATATTTAGAATACTAAAGCAGTTAATAATAATAATAATGAATAACATGCCCGGCTGGTGTGGCTCAGTGGCTGAGCATCCACATATGAACGAGGAGGTTGAGGTTCAATTCCCTGTCAGGGCACGTTTCCAGGTTGCACCAGCAGGAAGCATGCAGGAAGCAGCCAATCAGTGATTCTCTCTCATCACTGATGTTTCTATTTCTCTCTCCCTTTCTCTCTGAAATCAATAAAAATTTTAAAAAAAATTTTTTTTAAAGAACAACACTCCATGAGACCCATAGTAAATCTCAAAATATAGATTGGCCATTATTTTGAACTGAGTGCTATCGGTAAGCACACAAGAGAGCCTAAATTAAGCATTTGCTTTCAAAACTCACACCTTTTAATGGTTCATTCTAAGTACTTGTCTTAGAATATCTAATGTTCTTTTCTTTCTCCTTTTCATTAACAGCTCTTTCTAATGAGTATTTGTTGCTTAATGATATTCAGGTCTCCCACATGTTTTACTTACTAAAACTCTTATTGGGGCATTGGAGAGCCAGAGGTGCTATGACATAGATCTAGTCCTACGTCAGAGGTGCTCCCGCTCTAGCTTGGAAAAGACACGCACCACATGGATTTATGAGCCATGTAGTATGTGCTAGATAATGACGTGCACAGAGCACAGTTGAACTGCACCATGTGGGATGATAAGAATGTGTTAAATGGAAAGTATCAGGGATGAGCCACTAGAGAGACCACCTGAAGTGTGAACGTCACAGGCCCTCCAAGGAACAGGGATCATGTGATGTGGCTACCACACGGGGAGGGGCAGGCTCTCTTCCTGCTACGTGGATGATATAACAGATGGAGTAACGAGATATAGGTGGTGGTATCATGATATCCTATATAATCCTATATAATAAAAGGCTAATATGCAAATTGACCGACGGTGGTTGCTATGGTACACACTGACCACCAAGGAGCAGATGCTCAATGCAGGAGCTGCCCCCTGGTGGTCAGTGTGCTCGCACAGGGGGAGGTCTGCTCAGCCAGAAGCCCTGAGCAGGGATCACGGCTGGTGAGCGCAGCGGTGAGAGCCTCTCCTGCCTCCGCAGCAGGGAGCACTAAGGATGTCCAACTAACGGCTTAGGCTCGCTCCCGCTTGGGGCTCCCGGACTGTGAGAGAGCACAGGCCAGGCTGAGCCCCCTCCCCACGTGCACGAATTTCATGCACTGAGCCTCTAGTTGTTAATAAGCCATTGGTGAGGTATATAATAACTACAGCTAATGAGAAACAGGTAGAAAGCAGAGCGAAATGACTACAGCTAATAGAAAGTGAACAGTGTCATTTTACTCGGCGCTACTATGGCTAAACAATTCTCTGAGCGATTCCTTCAGTCTGAAGGGACTGGAAAGGCAGGGGCTGCGGATAGTGAAGGAAAAGATGATCATCATGCAGGGCCATGAGGGGTCAAAGGTTTTCTGAGAAGTGAGGAACAATCAGAACAAGAAGCGGATCTAACAAAAACCTTTGTCTAAAATGTAACGTTGTAAAATGATACAGCCACCATGGAAAACCATAAGGAGGTTTCTCAAAAAATCAAACATAGCCTTACTAGATATTATACATATACACCCCCAAAAATGGAAAGGAATGACCGGAAGAGATCTTCGTACACCCCTGCTCACAGCAGCAGCACTTCCAATAGACAAAGACGGAAGTAACCCAAGTGTCCCTGAACAGATGAATGAGGCAACAAAATAGCTATTAATGGAATATCCCAGCCTTAAAAAGGAAATTCTGACATATGCTACAACATGTGAACCTTGAAGACATCAGGCCCAATGAGATAAGCCAGGCACAAATGAACAAATACTGTGAGATTTCCACTTACGCCAGGTACCTGTCTATCAGGTTCATGGACACACAAAGTAAAACGGTGGTTGCCAGGCACTGGAGAGGGAGAGGAGTTATTGTTTAACGGGCACAGAGTTTTGCTTTTGCAAGACGAAAAATGTTCCGGAGGTGGATGGTTGCACAACAATAGGAATATACTGAGTACCACTATTGTACACTTAAAAATGGTTAAGATGGTAAGTTTTATGTTATATATCATTTACTGCAATAAAAAAAAAATGTATGCTGAGTGCAAAAAGCCGTTGACAAACTAATACAGACTGTACTACTGCATTTACGTAAAATGCCAATTGATTTGTGGTAACAAAAAGCACATGAGTGCTGTCTGGGGCTGGAGCAGGGGAAGGCTAAGTGACAGGGGCCACTAGCAATCCTTGGGGATGATGGAAACAGTTTGTATCTTTTTTTTTAATATATTTTATTGATTTTTTTTTACAGAGAGGAAGGGAGAGAGCTAGAAACGTCAATGAGAGAGGAACATCGACCAGCTGCCTCTTGTACACCCCCCACCGGGGATGTGCCCGCAACCAATGTACATGCTCCTGACCAGAATCAAATCTGGGACCTTTCAGTCCGCAGACCGACGCTCTACCGCTGAGCCAAACCGGTTTCGGCTGTATCTTGATTATGGGAATGTTGTCAAGGGTATACACGTCTGGAAAATGCCTTAACTGAATTTCTCCATAAAGTTGTAAAAAGAATTTTTTAAAGGTAACAGAACATTAGCAAATCACAGGTTTACAGTATGCTACAATGCCCTAGGACATATATGCCCCAAGGTATTCAAATAAAAGATGCAGGAAGATACAATTCATTTTTTGTTATTAATTCTCACCCAATGACATTTTCCCTATTGATTTTCTTTTCTTAGAGTGGAAGAGAGAGACATCAATGTGAGAGAGACACATGGATTGGTTGCAGCCTGCCTGCACCCAGACAGGGGCTGCGGATCAAACCTGCAACCCAGGTACAATTCCTTGACTGGGAATTGAACCCCAGACCCTTTGGTGCGCAGACCAATGCTCTAACCATTGAGAAACATGGTCCAGGACATACCCTTATCTACTTTACACATCTGGGCCTCAAACCCAGGTTTTGAGGTCTCAGCATTTTCTTATTTTCTTCTCTCTCTCCCCCGCCCCCCCCCTAAAAAAAAAGCTCACCTACTTCTTTTACATCCTCTCATGGGAAAGAAGGATTGGATGGTTCTAAATTGAAGCATGAAATCCTATGGCACTGGTCCTCAAACATGAACCCGCATCAGAACTATTGGAGGGTGGGTTAAAACAGAAGGCTGGGCCGCCATCCCTCCCCCTGTGGGCAGGGCCTAAGGGGTGGGCCTAGATTTGCATCTCTTAACGCCTCCCCAGGTGATGTGGACCCGCTGTCCTAGGGAGCTGCAGAAAGCTCTCCACGAATGGCTGTCCATGGCCTGGGGGGCTCTCCCAGAGAGGAGGCAAGCAACTGCCCATCTTTACAGGGGGCCAGGGACTTAGCGGGGCGCCTTCTCCATTCTCACCCACCTTATGGGGGAGCTATTCTTAGCCCCCGTTTGCAGAAAAGGAAACGAAGGTTCAGAGAAGTACAGTAACTTCTCCCAGGTCTAACAGCTAAGATGGATGGACCTCAGGCTGCGTGTACACTCGGGCCACATGTAGGAAAGGCCCGAACCAGGCCCCTGACTCCTGGCCTGTCCCTTTCCCTTCAATCCTCTGCCTTCAAAGCTGCTTTCCTCCCTTTACTCGCGGTGCCCAAGGTAACAGGGAGGGGAACACAGCAGGTTTTTATTAACATCATCCATCCTTAGCTCACTTGGTCACCCCACCTCCAGAGGCCTCGTTTCTCCATCTCTGCAAAGGAGGCCGAAGGAAGCACCACCAAGGAGCATGTTTCTACCCTCTGTCTGAGTGCCTACTGTAGACTCAGCATTGGGGAGCATGCTCCCTGTGCCTGAGCGAGCTTTTACGAAGGCTGTGAGAGCACGGGTTATGAGGCAACGGGCCGAGCCTCCACAGGGCATCTAGCAAGGTGATGCAGAGGACGGGGCGGCCCGTGCCCTCGGGCAGCCTCCGGCCATCCCGGCAAGTCGCTGGCTAGGTGCTGCGAGCACTTGCCCTGGCACAAGCAGCGGTCTTGAATGAGTCTTGTTCACAGTCAATTTCCCAGCCTGATGAAGTCCATTTCACACCCCAGGCTGCATTTCTCATCCTTCCCCGGCGTGCAGGCCTGCAGGCAGATGCTCGCTGAAGCCCTCGCTGCCATAAAGGAAAACCACTTCACGTGAAATTGGGGAAGCACTGAGGGCAGGCCAGAGCTGCTGTGGTTTTTTTTTTAATTTAAATTTTTCATTGTTGACACTTTTTAAAATTTACTCTGACAGCGCAAGTAGAAGGCGGTGCTGAAACACACCGATTTTTCTCTCGTTTGGGGCAAATGGGTGGGGGACCTGCTTCCCAGAAAATTGTCCTTGCAGCTGGAAGCACAGCCGCAGTCCTGGCTTCTGGGGCCAGAGGCTGCAGGGTCAGAACCCGCTTCCACGGCTGTTCCTCTTCCCTGACCCGAGTCCTAACGCATCGCCTAACGAGGACTGCTGGTCACCGTAACCCACGACCACAGAGCGGACGCCGCCCAGCCCACGAGCTCAGGAAGGCCACTTCTCCGAAGCAAAGAGATGTGCACAGTGAGAACCAGGGTCTCTGGCACACGGCCCTCACCCTCGCTGGTGTTTACAACGCACCTACTGTGTGCTTCACATTTAGACAGGCAGCCTGGGCACGTGTCACATGACAGCCTGTGTGCTCTGCAGGCTGAGAGCACACTCTGGCGCCCGCGGCTTCACCTGCACCGTTAG